CCCAGCCACTCTGCATGGGCCTATGGGTCTCAAGGAGCTGCCTGGGGGCACAGGGCTCCCAGCTCTGATCCTGGGCAAGGAAGGAGGTGCCAGTGCTGGGGTCAGGTCCCCCCATCCACATCCAGCCGCACACCAGTCCCCCCATCCACATCCAGCCGCACACCACTCACCCCCCCCCAAACGCCAGGGCAGCCCAGCAGCAGTCTGCTACAGCAGGGGGGAGGGATGCAAATGCAGGCAGGAAAAAAAAAGGCAGGTGTCATGTGCTTCCTGCCACTGATCCAGGGGCACATGCCCCCCAGCCCACAGCCCTCCTGGGGGGCACAAAGCAGCAATAGCCACACATCCCTGCCCTGCACCCACCGACAGCTCCCCGCACTTTGCTTCATGCTGCAGCCCCAGGAACAGCCGATGGGCTGCGCCACGCCCCTCCCCCTGCCTTTTCCCTAGTCCCAGCCTTACTCCTTCCCCATCAATTTTTCCCCTACTTAAACTGATTTTTTTCCTTTTTCTTCCTTTTATCCTGATTTCATCCTGGTTTTTATGTTTTGAAGATAAAAAAAATAATAAAAAATTCTAATAAAAACTGAAAATGCAGAACACTATATATAAAACAGCATCTAAGCAATAGCCTAACCAACCTAAAAACATAGAACAAATGTCCACTACTGTACAATACAAAACTTTGAACTGAATATAGAGGACTAAAAAGTTAACCCCTGTAGACGTGCAGCTAAAAATAAACTCTCTAACCAATTAATATAATAGTAGAGGTTCAGGCACATAATAAACATGCTGAGTTCTTCTTGAGAGCAGGCTGTGGTCTAAGGGAAGTCATTAAGTGAAGCAAACTGATACTAAAAAGCTTTGCCTCCATACATTCATTCTGGTACAACTACATCCCATGTTAAACTATCATACTAGAAACACTGTAACTCTTAACGTACTTTTACCCTATTAACATAACAGGTATTTTCATTTTTAAATTCATATCCCGTTGTCCATTTGAACTATAGAACCAGGCCAAAGAACAAGTGAAATAAGTACTACTGACTTCATTTCTGGCAATATATATATTGCCAAAAATAATATATATTATAATTAATATATATTAAATACTATATATTATATCTAATAAAAATAATATATATTTAGATCTCTCTCTCTCCTGTCTCTGGATACAGCCTGTTGAACATAGCATTTGAATACACCTCTGTAAACATGTTTTACAAAATGAATAAAAAACCCTGTAAATGATCAAAAACTTGGCATCTGTAAATGTCTTAGAAAGAAATGCAAATATTAGTGTATACCAGGGGTTTTCAACATTTTTTAGTCTAAGTACCCTGGTGGCCAGATGTAGGGCAAATAAATGCGTGTTTCTTTCTATTACTCCTCCATAACTGTTACTGATTATTATGAAATTACTTTCATTGGTCCAGGAACCTACAGAAGAAATAGCTGCATTTATGAGAATCAAACAAATGATGAGGTTCATACTAAAAAGCTGTACGAGTTTAGCAGCTTAAAACCATATACTACAGTGTCTACAGCAGTAATTAGACTTTCACTTTTTAGGTGTCTGATCAGAAGCTATAAAGTCTATTTTAATAAAAATATTCACAGATCCTGAAGTTCTTACATGAGTATGCAAGAGCAAGCAACTTAAACAGAAACACTTCTAGCACTACCAGGAAATTTGTTCATTTCATTTTTAAGATAATTAGCAAATCTCCAAAGTGTTTTTCTATTCAGCAAAAACTCAAGTCTTGAGTTAACACATTAGTTACCCATAAAGTTTTTTCCAGATTTAGAACATCACCCAACTACAGCAAAATACTGTCTAGAAACCAGCAACTTTATACATCAGAGATCATTAATTCTCAAGACCTGAGAAACATTGTTGTAAAACGCACACACACACACACAGTACATGTTTCTCTCTCTATACCCTATTTATTTCAATTTGAATTTGTATGCTTCTGGAGAAATTCGATGTTTTCAGAGAATTTAGCTGGTGATCTATATAATAAATCCAGCTTTTGCCTAGATCAGCAGGTGGCATCCTTCTTCGCAAGCATGCCACAAATTAAGCTCTGCATCCTCCTTGAGAACCACTCCAATTCCCTTCCCAAATCTGCTGCTCTGCCTTCTGCTTCCCACACTGTGCTTACTGCCCAATCTGCTGCTCTGCTTTATGCTCTTGACTGATCTGTTGCTCCGTCTTCTACTTCCTTATGCTCCCTGCTCTGTTTACCACTGTGTTGTCTGTCCCCTCTCCAATTTGGCATTGGCAGCATCTGTGACATGCAACACTTGTGGAACATGCTGAAAGTTGGCCACACCTGGCCTACATTATCAGCCTGTAAAAATGACTACTATAAAATATTCCAAAGTGATTTAGAGTCTACTGCTTCTGACACACTTGTATGTTACATTCTGAAACCTAAAAGATCATAGGTATGGATCACAAGGAAGAAATTCTGCCCTCTACTGCCTTCACCCACACATTTCATCGGCCTATAAGGGCTGCAAGTCACCTGCAAGGAGAAGAAGTGGGAATATACCTTTTGACATGACCACTTCACCAAACTTCCATAAATAGCCCTGTATTAGTCCCCATCCTTCCACCAACCAAAGCTCCAGTTAGAACCAAAGGCTGATTGCAGACATGGGGGAGGGAGGGAAAGAAAATGGCACATCTGTGCATGGGCCAGGGGCCAAGGCAGGCTGCCCACTGCCGGCCCAGGCAGTGGGGGGAGGGCTTCTCCCTGCCACTGCACGCACTCCCAGGGGGTCAGGGGTATCCATGCCCCACAGATCCGCGTGTGGGGAGGGGGCTGTGCACTGCCTACTTCAGGCTCGGACTCCTGCCCTGCTGCCCTTCCTCCCAGGGCCTCCATAGGGCAGCATGTGTGACCTGGCACTGCAAGGAACAGTGGGGCTGCGAGGGAAAGCTGCTTGCTGCTGTGAGCTCTGCACTGCCCTGGCAACGTCCCCTGTGCATGTGGCTGCAGTGATACCAGCAGCACACGGTTGCACACAGGGGACACATCACCAGGGCAGTGCGGAGCTCACAGCAGCAGGCAGCTTCCTGTGCAGCCCCACTGTTCTTTGCAGTGCCGGGTCCACATGACACGCTGCAGAGGCCCCAGGGAGGGCAGCAGGGTGGAAGGCTGCAGCAGGCAGCCCCCACCCCATGCACAGATCTAGGAGGCACGGGTCCCCCTGCCCCCTGGGAGTGTGCACTGCAGCAGCGATCTGGTCCCCTCTGCTCAAGCCCGCAGCAGGCAGGCGGTGGGGGGGTGGGGAAGGAGAGGGGCAGCCAGGCTCCACTCTGCTGCTGCACCAGCCACCACCTCCTGCCAGGAACAAAGGGCTACAGACCTTTGTCCCTGGCCCCATAGCCCTGGCAGCTAGGGGAGCAGGAGCAGTGGGTGGGAGACAAGGGGCACCAGCAGGACAGAGAGGTTGTGGAGGAGGAGGAGGAGGAAAGGGGAGTCAGGGGCACCAGCAGGGCGGGCGGGGTGGGGGCGGCGGCTTTCATTTTAGTCACCAATTTTGAGGTTCTTATCAGAGTTTGCAATTTTTTTCTAAATCAGGGAAAACCAGGATCCCTCTTAATGAAACAGCTGGATCCCAATGACTGACACAAACTGAAAAAAAATAATTGTATGGGGAAAAAAAAGTTATGCCACCGGTTAGTTTGGTCTCTGAAGCAGTCCACAATCCAAAGGTAAAAACATAAAACTTAAGGCCACTTTTGTCTTCCTCCTCCCTGTAAGCACAGCACTTCTGAACTATTAAATAGCCTTTAATTACTCATTCATATTTTCTATGGGAGTTTTGCTTTATTTATAAATCTCAGGATTTAGTCTCATTTGGTTTCTAAAACAACATGAAGACAGAGACCAACTGTCCTGCAGAAAAAAAACAGTGCACAAGGCAATTCATTACTGTATCAGAGTGCATATAGTAGACATGGGTAAGCTCACATACTGTATTTACCTGAATCAAAGATAACTTAAATTTAAGACAATCCCCCAATGATTAGATTCTATAAATGGAAAATTTATACTTCTGTTATACCTTTCTAGGTACTGAATCTAATAATTGGACTGTCTTAAAGCAGCTTTGCCCCCATTTCTCCTGCCATTTGTACCCCCTACTGCCTGCTCTCCCATGCCTCATCTTGGATTCAATATGGTAACTAACCTCAAGTTTGACATTATTTGGCTTTTCAGCTCTTCATATGCTTCAAGTCAATAGGACATTAGAAAACTAGTACCATCCCCCCATAAAAAAGAACCCATCCAGTGCATATGAACAGAATACTTGTTTTACTTCCTTTTACCTAAGCTGAGTCTACTCAGGGTTTCACCAAACCACTAAACAGTTGCATCTAATCTTCCCATCAAATTTAATTTCTCTAGTCTAAACTGCACAAGTGCAGAAGCATTTTTTAAAAAAAATGCCTGCAAACAGCTGAAAAAGAAAGCTAAAAAAAAAGAAAGAAAGAAAAAAAACCCTTAATTCTGATGGAGCAAGTCAGACCAATTCCTCAGTGGATCACTGCATCTAGAGCACTTTCAATTTGCTATGAAACTATGATGGTTAGAATTATTACAAATGTCTTCCTTCAACGATTCCAAGTTTTCTTCTAACTCTCAGATCCAGAGCCGAGAGCTAGCCCTTGAAACTTTTTGTGGCCACAGAACCTATAGGACCATTCTTTCTTCCCTGCCTTGTCCCAAGCACTGCTAGAACAAAACAGGTAAGTGTAGTAGATTTCTACTACCTTGTCTTTGGCATATATTAATGCCAAGTGCAGATCTGCCTTCCAATTCAATGTCAGGAACATAAAGTATATGAGTCAAAAATCAAACACAGGTGAAGATACAGCCGATGTAAACACTGATCTCGTCTGCTGCTACTTACGTCTGGCAGTTATCGCCCCTTCCTGCCCTCTAATTTAAGGGAACAAATGGTGTCATCACACAATGATATAAATTTTGGGGGGCCAGACAGCTGGAGCTGATACTACAGTCATGAAAAGTCAAAGCAATGGCTCTGAGGAAGTCACAAAAATAAAATGATGTTGTACAACAGGATGTCAAGACAGAGTCTATATCAGAGGGGTTTAACAAAGAACATTAATGAAATAAAGTGCATTATAAATTATGAACTTTTTACTCAACGTTTTCAAGAACTTTGATCTTGGAAAGGAACTGGTTGGGGCACTGCACAAAGAACTCTTCAATGACACCATCAGTTCAACATTGTCCTAAAATTATAAGAACTATTCATAATTGATGATTGGTCTCATCATAACATCTAAGATAGGGAAAAAAGCATCATCTTTCAAGGCCAAGGAAAGTATGTATAAGTAAAATGTATGTCCTCATGGCTTATTCTGTTTCTCGAGTCTTTCTAAATTTTTGGCATCCAAACAGACTCATCCCAATGTTATTAGTCAAATATTTGGTAAGCTAGAAGTTTTTAATGTATTAGATTTCTGATGCAAAGAATTAATAAATAGAATAGTAGCACAACTACATGAGTAGCTCATTTTTTAACTACGCAATTATGAAAGAACTGAGAAAACTGAAATTATACAGTAACGATTAATACAAGGACTGAAAATCAGCTGTAAGATCAGCCAGATGGCTAATGATTCAGACTGGCAAAAAAATCCTTTCATAACTTATAGTAATTTGTACATTTGGAGGAAATCCTCCACTAAATATTTTAGGAATAAACTATGTAAGTAAATAACAAATTTTTAAAAAGTTTAAGAATCTAGTCCTCCTATTTCCCCACACACATTACACACGCAAGGACTAGGAACTGCCTAGATGCTTATGAATGTTTTCAAACTATACAAAAAACTAAACATGGAAGCATGAATTTTCTATTAAAGGATTTTGGTCATTAGACAAAGATCATTTCTGGTTTTGTACACATTTTAGCTGCATTTACCCTTCCTTTCCCTCCCCCTCAATTTATAAAAAACAATTTTAATCAGACAATCTTCTACACATACCTCAAACAACCGGAGATCAGCAGGGACTCTGTCTCCAACTGACAGGCAGACTGTATCACCTGGGACTAAATCTCTTGCAAGTGTATGTTCCACCCTACCTTCACGTACACTGTGGGGAAAAAAAAGTCAACCAGAAGTGAAAATGCATAAGAATTCCTTCCCCTTCATTTCACCTGGGGTAGAAATATATAACTATTATATATGATGCTAAGAACAAAAAAAATGGCTTGCTTAAATGATTAAGTATAAAACAGTAACAAAAGTAACAGTATACTTTTTCACCATGCTAGGGATCTTGATGTGGAACTTCGGATCACATAAAAGCATTAAAAAGAATCATTTAAAAAGACCAGAAAATAACATGCTCTGTGTGTATGCAATAAGTTGACATGTTAATGTGTAATTAAGAGTTATTTAAGGTAAGGTTTTTCCTGAAATGCATCTACAACCACAGGCGATTACAGGTAGCTGTAACTAATGTCACTTAATTTAAGTCTAGAACAGTAGATAACTGCTTACCAATGGCATTCTGGAGGTACAAGTTTACTAAGCTCTTCAAGAGATTTTTCTGACCGGTACTCCTGCAGTGACATAAGATACAATTAAAGTACAGAAAGCCTTTTAAAATGAACTACAAAAACAAGCAACTCCATGTGAAACACTGTTGGCCAACAGCTGCATCCATGCCTATTTAAGTCTTAATATTTCTAAAGAGGTTATATTTAAAGAAACCAAATCAGGACCAGGTTCCTACTTCACATTACCTACTGTAAAGGCACAAATTGTCTCATCCTTGAGGAATTTACTAGAGAATACACTATTAATTTGCCTGCATACATTTTGTCTACAGAATCTCATATTTCTTAAGTTATTTCTTTTTTGTACTGCAGTGTCTTCTGATTTAGCAACCCTAAGTTATTACTAAGATAGACCCTTTCAGTTAAAGCTCACATTTCCAGAGTTCCAGACAAAAATTGTAACCTGAAATTTCTCATGTTGGCTCTCATTACCTGTTCAACATTTTTTGGGGGGGGGGGGGGTACAGCTGTTTGGTTATGGGGTTTTTTGTACAGATATAATCATTATTTTCTTAAACCAATATATTATATGGTATATCCTTCCAAGTAGGGATGTAGGGCACAAAAGTAATATAAATTGGATTCTTACTAGCATCTTCCTTTATGCTAGGAAAGTAGATGATCTATAGCAGGACAGATCACCACAACAAAAAGGATGGAGTTAGTCTGTTCTCACTGGTGACAGAAAACAGAAAAAGGTTGCAGGCAAGGGAAGTTTTGGTTAAATATCAGGGAAAAACTCACTAGGAGAGTAGTAAAGCACTGGAACGGGTTTACTCGGAGAGGTTATGGAATCTCCATCTTAGGAGGTTTTTAAGACCCAGGTAGACAAATACTTGGCTGGGATGATATATATAGGGATCATCCTGCTTTGAACAGATGGTTGGACTAAGCAACCCTTGAGGCCCTTTCTAACCCTAATTTTCAATGATCATATTATATTTGCATCCATGCCGATTTAGACAAAGCAGTAAAACATGTATGCTTGTTTAGACAAGGCCTGAGGCAATTTCATTTTTTTTCATAGCACAAGACCCCTTCTCTGCCATTCATAATTGCACAATATGCCCAGAGAAATTACTTCAATTGGTCTCACAGAAGTTTACATAAACTACTGATTTAAGTTGGCAAAACAGAACTCTTACCTGAACAAAGGCAACTGTAACAACAATGAGTATTGCCTAAGCGAAAACAAAAGCAGTTTAAGTTTTTGGAATTCCAAATGGAGGCATATTTGTTTCTACATGTAAAACAGAACTGCCTGAAAAGGGTCAGCTTAGGGCACAAGAGACATGGGAGCATGACAGTCTTCCAGAATAACAAAAGCAGCAGCTATCTGACATCCAAAACACTCCATTTTTGCACAATGCTCTCCAAATAAGTGTCCATGAAACTGCAAACAAACGTAAGCAGTACAAAAAAATATTTTGTTGATTGCAACTATGATGGATCCAATCCTACATGGTGTTAAATGACACAGCAAGGAGGTGCTAAGGTAATATTAGATATAAATCAATTATATTCCCCACCCCTTTTTCCTTTACCTCATCTTAATTCTTTGTTGAAATATACTAAAGCGCTCTCTGGAGAGGACTTTTCAGAAAACATTAAAAAATTTGATCTCAGGGTAATTATACATAAACAATGCTGCAAGTAAAAATTGGATTCTCACAGAAAATGAAATTCACAGTGCATTCAGGCTGCATTTTTAAAAGGTGGATAACAGGCATATGTATACAAAGGCATCTTACAGAGACAGACTACTAGTCAAATGTGCTATACCAACATGTACATACTTGGAAACTCAGTTTCGAGATGATTTATATCCTGGATGAAATCATTCCAAGAACCAATAAGATTTAAAACCCTGTATAAAATGCAGTTACTGGGAAACATCTAACCAAGTTACTATCAACTCTGGAACCAGAAGAATTATTTAAGTACTCTGAGAAGAATGTTTAAAACTGCCTACGAAGCTACCACACATTGGTTTGCCAAGCTGAACATTAGGTATTTTGGTGTTAGACTATATAGTTTATACTTTTTCATGCAATGTTTACTCTAATAATTTTGTTGTTGAGACTGTGCACTATCATACATAAATTACTCGCAGGTAAGGGGTACCCATTATCCAAAAAGAAATGTAACAAAGCTTTCCTGCTCGCTGGCAGAACGGTGGTATACACAAGAATAAGCAGTGGATTAATTAGGATACAAAAAAAGCTACAGTTGATTATGCCTAGGTAGCTCTGCACCTTTAAGGCAAATTTGCCACCCCACCCCATTTGCAAAAGGACGTCTCCAAGTCCAGTTCGAAGCTAACTGTTCTGTAAGCAGAGATGACAGATTCCCATTAGGGCTGTGCGAAGCTTTGGTAACCGATTCATTCCGAGGAGATTTGGCCTGAGTCGGGGACCGAATCTCCAAATCCAATTGAATCAGGAGACCAAGTAAAAGCTCTGAATCACTTCGGAATAAGATTTGGCAGATTCAGAGATTTGGCCATAGGCTAAACAGGCAGCTGACAGATGCCTCTAACTGGTAAGTCTGTCGGGGTTTTGGGGCGGGGACTGGGACAAACTGCCCAGCTGGGGAGGGGGCGTGTTACTTGGGGAA